CATATTGATTACATATTTATTTTCTCTAGCCACTAATTGACTTCAAATGACAATATACTTTCAAGTTTTTATCTGTAGATAGGTAGTAGCTAGTCTATGAGAAATTTGATATGATCACGAAACTTATGTAGCTCGGGAGTAGTTAAACCCTGATTTTAAAACAATTATTTTCCTAAGGAAGTTTTCAAAGGTTAGAACTAAAGATTATTTATGATATTAATTTTCACATTTACAAAACAAATCTAGGATAACAATACTAATTGCCGAAATAAACGAAACCTGAATTGTCCTGAGAGGTGGCTAACTAGAAAAGCATGTTGACTCTCCAATTCATACCGTAGGTCCTACTACTATAGTACTATCGGGAGTTTATTCTAAATTGACGTTTTGGTATTTTGATTAATTATGCTTAACCTTAATACTTTATAAAAAAAAATTACTAGCAAAATTAATATATATTTGACCAAAAATCGACATATCAAATAAAAAATCGATTTTAACGTTTTCATAGTTTGACAGTCCTCAAAAATATGAAGAATTGATTAAATAAATTTATGTGTTAGATAGATCCTATTCTATAGTGTATCATTTACTTCAAGCTCTTCTTCTTTATGATTTTTTTCCTTGGACGAAATGCTTTTTAGTTTGGTTTTATCTTCAATAACTATATACTAGATGATATCTCATGTTATATGCGACGATAACAAATTAAAAAAAAAATTTGGTATAATATTAGTGTAAATTAATTTCTCGACAGTTGTTGAAAAATTTATAAATACATGTGATAAATATTATCATATGTAAGAAGTTTATTATCACATGTATGCTATTACTATATTAGACTGTTTATTATAATGTGAAAACCATTTAATGCCTTCAAATAAATCCAAAGTTATGCTTATGCAACATGGATGGTATAAAGTTGTCTACCAAAAGTACCTTTACCCTATTTTTTCAAACATTAGATTTTACTAGATTCTCCAATGACAATGCAAGTAAATTTCCAATGACATTAGATCAAATGTTAATTCTTAAAAAATCTCCCCTTTTAATATATAGTAGATGTGAAACGAATTCTATCGATATATGAATAACAATATTTAAGTTCTCTCTTTTAATACTCCAACTTTGAAATAAGAAGCAAAAATAGAGTTATTCTCCAAATATAAAAGATATTTCGCAACTTTATGAAATTGAGTATATATTTGTTAATATTTAATAGCTTCCAATTTTGACAAATGTTAGATTACATACATCTGTGCCTTTTTATCTTTCATCTTTAAAACAAAATTTAAAATTCAGTTTTATCCTTTTCATCAAAAAAAAAACCAGAAACCAGAAACCATAAAATTCAGTTTTATCCTTTAAAATTCAGTTTTATCCTTCCAATTCAGTTTTTTTTTTTAAGAAAGAGAAAAACATGAAGAGTTTTTAAAAAGACTTGTTTCTATCTTTTAAAACATTTGATTAGTTTAAAATGATAAATAATAATAATACATGTAAAAGACATAGCCAAAAAAATAAAGAAGACGAAAGACAGACATCAAACTATATTCTCCCTAGTGGACTATTTTATATTAGCAAATATAAAAGAGTCCACCAGAGACATCCATGATATTCAAACATCAAACTATGTTCTCCCTTATGCACCACCAACTTTGTAAATGCTTTAATCGTTTCACATATCTTACATTTTAACTTCTAGACAAAACTAGTTTAAGGTACAGTGCACTTAAGGGAAGAATTTTCAAACGAAAAAATAGTATAAACAAGCATAGATATGCGTCCATAGACTCTCACAATTCTCATCACAAATTAAAGTATCAAACAAGAAAAGAAAAGTGAGAAAAAAGAAAGCGAGAGAAATAATGTCTCCTACTCCAGAATGGGTCATGGTTGGAGGAGAAGGTCCTGAGAGTTACAAGCAGCATTCTTCGTATCAGGTTTACATATATAAATGATTTTAGAATTCTTAGCTAGAATATGAATTACTAAGATGTGTTAACAGTCTTCTCTTTGATTGGGGTTTTCTAGAGAGATTTGTTGAAAGCAGCAAAGGATGAAATAAACGCGGTGATCGCAGCGAACCTCAGCCTCGATTTGATTTCGAGTCGGTTCAGTGTTGCGGATTTCGGTTGTGCGAGTGGACCTAACACTTTTATGGCAGTCCAAAACATAATAGATGCCGTGGAAGAGAAGTATCTTAGAGAAACCGGACAAAACCCGGCGGATAACATCGAGTTCCAAGTCCTCTTCAACGACTTAAGCAATAACGATTTCAACACTCTCTTCCAGGGACTTCCTTCGAGCAGGAGATACTATAGTGCTGGCGTCCCCGGTTCCTTCTTCGACCGTGTTCTTCCTAAGCAGAGTATCCACATAGGAGTTATGAATTACGCTTTTCAGTTCACCTCCAAAATCCCCAAAGGGATCTCCGACCGCAACTCTCCCATGTGGAACAGAGACATACATTGCACTGGCTTCAACAACAAGGTCAAGAAAGCGTATTTTGATCAGTACTCGCTCGACTCCAAGAATATATTGGATGCTCGAGCTGAAGAGCTCTTACCCGGGGGACTGTTATTGCTTTTAGGATTGTGTCTAAGAGACGGTATCAAGATGTCGGAAACCTATAGAGGAATAGTGCTGGATTTAATCGGAGCTTCTTTAAATGATCTTGCTCAGAAGGTATATATATATTTTTATCTTTAACAAACTATATACAATGACAAAACTAACATTATATATCGTCTTTAATCTTTTTTCTAATATTAACAAATTAAAGGGTGTCATCGAGCAAGACAAGGTGGACTCTTTCAATATCACACTCTACACTGCCGAGGAAGACGAGTTGAGGCAAATCATTGAAGAGAACGGGAAGTTCACAATTGAAGCTTTCGAGGATATCATTCAGTCAAACGGGGAGTCGCTTGACCCCAAGATCTTGGCTGTCTCCTTGAAGTCTGCCTTTGGAGGTATCATATCCTCACATTTTGGAGCCGAAGCCATGAGGAAAGCCTTTGAGCTCGTCGAGGCCAAGGCACACCAAGAATTTTCTCGCCTCAAGAATGCCAAACCCGCAATGCAATACCTTATCGTACTTCGCAAGAACTGATGAGATCATCCTAATATATTGTGAATCTTTGTTTCCTCCATGCATTGTTTCTTCTCTTCTTTCCTCTAGTGGTTTGTCGTCTTCTTTTTCTTGTTGATGTTTTCTTAGCGTCTTTGTATTCTCCACTATCACATGCAACTATGCAAGTGTTGTTGATAAATGATATATATGGAACGTAAAAGGTGTTTATTCCATATGTTAATTTTCATTTGGATAAGTGATCCTATACATAATTTCAGTTTCACAATTTCACATTTACCATTTTTGTATATTTTTTTTCAAATCAAAATGTTGTCAACTTCGACTAGAGATTTTAAGACACCTCGTGTGTAGACTTCTCAAATTTATGGAATATGACAAACTGACTCCTCAGAAAAATGGTTCATTAGTACAGAGACTTGTTGATTAAAATGTACCATGGTGTTAGAGATAGAATCTAATTCAAAACCAAAACCTTTATTATGAAAATAGAAAGATTGAAAAATAAAGTAACAAGAGTCTAACTCCCCAAAGAGAACTACGTTCTCTTCCCTCGGCCTAACCCGATAGAATCCTCCAAAGCTCTCAATTGCTTGGATAGGTTTCACAAACAAAACCTATCCCTTATTTATAATAAACGTAACGTAAAAGACTCTAGGAAAAGTAAATAAGAAAATGGAAATCCTAAACTATTTCCTAAATCATAAATTAGGAAGTATTCGTATCACATGGCATGTAAAATGACACTTTAAACACACATGATTAAAATGATTGAAATGACTATCAATATCAACTACTAACAATTTACTTAACAATCTACTGAGAGGGGTGACCCATCCTCCAATGCCACAAAACTCCACAATCGCCTGTCTTCATTGAATTCAAGGTACACACTCGACACATCTAGCATAAAATATTACCCTCATGCAAATCACCTTGTGACACACGAATCCGTGTCAAACAAAAAAGTACAAACTAGAACACTATCCAGCTGAGACATAGATATCAAGATCAAGATGCATTCCATATTTGGTAGATACAAAACATGAACTATCTTAAATCGCAACATAAAAATCACGTTATCATCTTCAGATGGAACGACGGATTTCTGTTTCGCAGACTAACCCGAAAAAAAAAATTACATCTCAAACATTACCAAACAAATCAGCCTTTCCAAACATGTGAATTGTTTCACCACAATTAATTAAAAAAAAAATGAGAAAAAAGACCACCATTTATAAGCATAATAACCAATGACGCATAGTGTCGTTATTGAGAAATATAATGATGCAGCATATGAAAAGTTAGTAAACAATTTGGGTACAACTATTTATTCTGTTATTAATCTCAAGAAAAAAACAATACAATATCTCTAATATATGTTAAGCCTAATTATAAAAAATATGTAAACAGTATAACCCTCTTTTATTTGAACTTATAGTTGATTTTTTTTTTATTATACACTTTACATAAAAAAAAAATGAAGAAATTTTATACTCTAATTTCATTATTATTTAATATATAATAAATAACAAACAGATAATCAATTATAATCGTGTATTCGTGTGTGGTGTAAACAACTAGTACGTATTAACAATATCAAGCCCATGAATCATGTCCTCACAAAAGACCTTTTCAAATCAAGCCGAGACCGACGGGCCACGACAACGACACTGCACCAATAATTGCCTACACAAAAATAAATATCCCACCAGCCAATGCGTGCGTATCCACTAGTTTGATTCTCCATGTACGAGAATAAAACCTCATTTTCTCGTACACGGCATTTGTTGTACTGTCCCGAGAACATCACATGTAGCTTTTCTGAAGTTGAAAAACTATTTTAGCCTACACGTACGGCACGTCGGGACATAAATTCAACGGGAAGAGTTGCAAGATTTATAGAATTGAATACTTGTTATCAAATTCAAATCAAAAGTTTTCAAATCATCAAAGGAAAATTAGTATAAATAAGCATAGAGGCGTCCATGGATTATCACATTTCTCAGAAAATATTTAAAGTATCAAACAAGAAAAGAAGAGTGAGAAGAATAAAGAGAGAAAGAGGGAGAGAGAGAGATCATGTCCACTACTCAAGCATAGGTCATGATTGGTGGAGAAGATCTTGAGAATTACATGCACCAACATAGGTGCTCAGCCTTGAGATGATTTCGAATCGCTTCAATGTAGCGGATTTTGGTGGTACTAGTGGACCTAACACTTCTTTTGGCGGTACAAAACATACAGATGTTGTGGGAGACAAGTACCTTCGAGAAACCGGCCAAAACCCGGTGGATAAAATCGAGTTCCAGCCTCCTCAGAGACTTTAGCAACAACGATTTCAACACTCTCTTACAGGAACTTCCTCCAGGCAGAAGATACTGTCTTGCGAAGTTCCGGGTTCCTTCTTCGTCCGTGAGTCATGATCAAGATACGCTTTCTTGACCACATGGTTGAACCAGTGCAATGCATGTTGCTGTTCCACATGGGAGAGTCGCGGTTTTTGATCCCTTTGGGGATTTTGGAGGTGAAATGGAACGCGTAATTGATGACTCCTATGTGGAAACTCTTATGTCGAAGAAGGAACCGCGATTTTGCTAATCCAAGTGCTTAAATCGTTGAGGCTGAAGTCGTTGAAGAGGACTTGGAACTCGATCTTATCCACCGCGTTTTATCCGGTTTCTCTGTGGGTTGTGAAATATTTTATGTTGCCTGAAAATATGGTTTAATTGATGAACAGAGGTAAGGTAAGTCATGCAAGTAATTAAATTCATAAGTCCCTACCTATTCTTGCAAGTGCACATATTTGTCTTTCAGTAATTAAAAAACAGAACGTACACAAAAGATATATGATAATCAATCTGAACTAAGATGTTTATATATGGTTTATCATGTTTTAATTAAGGCTTCCTAAAAGACTTAAGATCACTAACCCTTTTTAACTACTAAATAAGATTTGATCTATCAATTGCCTAATGATTTCAGGGACGGATGAACAACATGAGCCTAATGTTACTTCCAAGTTTCCATCTCAATAAATTAGTTTTCGTTGCGATGGTCCGAGACGAGGGGGTACTTGCGCATATATATATGCACACATTGAAATTTTATTTGTTTTCCAAAATTTAAATCAGTATTTTTATATAATTTGATATGAATTTCTTCTCCAAATGCGAGATTAAAACTACATGTTACTAAGATTTTTTCAATGTTATCCAATGCCACTTATAATTTTTGTATTCGAAGAACTCAGTTAAAAGTAAGAGATATTAAGATCATATAATTTTACTTTTTTTGTTGACAACCGATCGTTTTATAACACAAGCTTGAGGTAATGGAGGTTGTCTGGCAAACCACACCGAATAGAAAAACCAATAAAAGACAATAAATCCAGGGCCGGTCCGGTAAAATCCGGGGGCGAATATGAAAAAAAATTTGTGGCCTATTTAAAAAAGTAAAAACTGCAAAAAAATTTTTTTTTGCTAATTGTGAGGTCTTTTTGCTAATTATGGGGCCTTTTGTTAATTTTGAAGTCTATTTATTAATTATGGGGCCATACAAAAAAAAAAAATCCTCACAAAATAGGCCTCGCAAAATTTGAGGTCCAATAAAAATGTTTTACTAAAATGTGTCAATGGCCGGGCCTGAATAAATCTAACATGGGACTTAGGTAGGCGAGCCAAGTGGTATGTCTTAAAATTTGATTTCTTTGAAACATAAGAGAAAGAAAATGATTACAAAAAAAATTTCAAATTCGTAGAAAAATTGGGTCATTCTTCTGAGTGCTCTATCATCAAAATAATATTCCTTGTAGTCTCTATCACCTAGCGTTAGGGGCATTAATTGCATCCCAAATGAGAATCTTGAGCTGAGCTCAGAGTGGAGGATGATCGTCCACATGGCAAGTTTATGTGGTTCACCTACAGGGTCGTTGGCTACGACCACAAATAAATGAGACAAATCTTATTTTGAAAAATGTAATATAGAGTGTCTCAGAAAACCATTGATATAGTGTAAAGAAAAATACATACATACAACCTTAAGTAACCCTAATCGGATTGGATATGCATATATAATTTCAAAAAGATAACTTAAGCTGCATATGTGGTCCATATAATAAACACCCTAAATTCTTTGGCCCTCATCTGATATATCTTGCTAGCATGTAACCAACAGGTGATCTGACTTGCTGACCCGATTCAAGCATACCAACACAATACAATCAAAATAGCTTAAATAATCATCCTCGTTCATTCAAATTGAAACCAAAAACCAATGACAAACTGGTCTAGTGGTTAATCTTTAGTAACTAAAAATGTAAAAATGTTGGAGGTCACGGGTTCGATCCGTGTGGAAAACGGTCGGTTCTCCAAAAGAACATTAAATTACATGGTTTGGATTTTGTTATAGGAAATATACAGGCCCACGGACCGAGAACCTCTTACTCCTAAAAACAATAAGAGATTTATCTTTTCCATCTTATGTAATTACTAGGTTGTATAGTCGCTATTATGTTATGTGTAATGGTGTAATAAAATGAATTGATCGTTTTAGAAGCAAATTAAAGCTTAAAAGATATTAGTCCACTTACCATCTACCCATTCTTGATGTAGCCTTAGTTGAAAGTGGTTAAATTTTAGCACATCTTGATTTCCTAATTCATATGGATTGTATGGTCTATATTATCAAAATTTCCCTTGTTTTAAGTTCTTCCATGGAATTATCTACTCATTTTCATAATTTAATATAAACTTATGTATAAAAAATATTTCTTCAACACTTAAACCAAAAAAACTAAAGTGTGGAGGTTATGTTTTTATCATTGAAGTGTAGAGGTTGATCTTTGTTTGGAGACAATTGATAATAGATTCATTATCACAAAAAAAAAATATGTGTCTAATAAAAAAAAAGTTGTTGGTAATTATATTTAAAACATTTTCTACTATATACTATTTTGAAAAAGAGAATTATATTTCTTTTTTCAGTAATTCACAAAAATATTTTAAAACTAAAACGAGAGAGTAATGTAATGAACTTGAAGGTGAAATATGGGGAGTACTCATAGATACATTAGGGTGGTCATATCTTAGATTTTCGTACTCCGATCCTTTCTATTCTCTAGTCCAAGAATTGTTTTTAACTATTGAATTTGCTTGTTTTTAGTTATTTTCTCTTCCTTGACATCCTTCACATCCATTAGCTTTCTTTGATGGGGAAACACGCCGTAGAGGTCACGAGACTCGGCACTCAGGATAGACAGCCCCATCATCTAAATATAATGATTGTTAATAACTAAATAGCTAGCATGATTCAAAAGAAATATTGAATACTTACAAAAAGAGTCTTTGCAGAATCTCCCTCTGTTGGAATCAATGTGCAAAGTTTGATCACAACAAAGTCGTTATATTTTAGATTATCATTATGAAATTTAGCCATCACAGACCTAAGATAAGCAAAGTGTGTCGAAGCTTTATTTTCCAAACAAAGAGAGTATTTTTTAATTATTTGTTTCATTAAAGCACTTAATTATGTAAATTTGATTTATATCATCTAAACGCATTACCTCTTTTTTTAAAAGAAACTTAAAATATTTGAGAAAAAAACAAAATTTTGCATCAAGGATCTTAATTCGCAATAACTAGAATTAAAAATACATGCAATGAACCATGCACTATGCAGATTGCAAAGAACGAGAACATGACAATACTAAATTTTCGATTGATAAAAACAGAACGATTAAAGAAGAATTGTAAAAACAGTTCAAATGTTCCAATTTAAAATATTTTTAAAATGTATTAAATTGAATATAAATATTTAATTTCCCACCTATTACTCAGTCAAAATTTTTGTTGAATATTTAAAAAATATGTATTACTCAAGTCTAAATTTTTTACCCGTTATAATTTTTTTTTCATAGATTGAACCATTTCTATTCGTTTTAAAAAATTCAAATCATGGCACATGCGGAAAACAAATCTACCTTTTTTATCATATGGATGATATGATTATTATCTGTTTCACAAAAATTGAATCATATAAAGATGATAGGTGAAGTATAATATTAACAACAAATTATTATGGTAAGTTAGATTTCAATCATATAAGTTCATTTTGATTGGTTATTCATTTTTTTGAAATTTAATAATGTATTTTCATTTTTATTATATAAAATTATAGATTTCAACAAAATAAATGTATAAAATCGAATATAAATATCTAAGTTCCTACCCGTTAGTCAAAGTTTTTGTTAACTATATTTATGTTTAAAAGATATATATCACCTAAGTCTGAATTTTTAACTCGTTACAATTCTTTCTTCATAGATTGAACAATTTATATTTATTTTTAAAAATTCAAATCATGGCACATGCGAAAAAAATCTACTTTTTTTTTACTATATGGATGATATGATTTTTTATTTGTTTCACAAAATAAAATCATATAAAGATGATAGGTGAAGTATAATGATTAATTAAAAATTAATATGGTAAGTTAGATATCAAATCTTATATTTTCATTTTGATTGGTTATTCATTTGCTAAAAATTTTAATATATGTATTTTTAGTTTTTGTCAAGTAAGTATATTGACTTATGAAATTGAATATAAATTTTTAAATTCTGACACGTTATTCAGTCGAAATTTTTGTTAAATATATTTCTGTTTCAAAGATATTTATCACTCAAGTCTGAATTTTTGACAGTTACAATTTTTTCTTCATAAATGAACATTTTATATTTGTTAATAAAATTATAATCAAGGCACATGCGGAAAAAAATCTATTTTTTCTACTATATGGATGATATAATTATTTATTTGTTTCATAAAATAGAATCAGATAAAGATGATAGGTGAAATTTAATGATTAATAAAAAAAATATATGGTAAGCTAGATATCAATATTATATGTTCATTTTTGGTTATTCATTTTTAAAAATTTAATAATAAATTTTTGTTTTTGTAAAGTAATTAAATTGACTTGTGTTAATTGACTTGTTTATCCTTAATGAGTTGAACTAATTTGGTCTTTGATATTATATTTCTAATGACATTTTTTAGTAATATATTACAAAGAATAAGATTAGTTTTTTAACATACTTTTATAATAATAGTAGTACAAGATATATGAGAAAGAACAGAGGATCTAAAGGTTATGAGAAGAAGAGTGATATGAGTCAAATTACTCCTAAGACCACTCTCTCAAATAAGAGATCAATTGCAATACTTTAGGGTCGAATTCCACAAATTTCTCTTGTTCACACAATAAGCTAACAGTTTTGAAATTATGCTAAATGAAATAATAAGAATTAAAATAAACGCAAGCAATTAAATCAGGTAAAAGATCAAACAGATTAAAGCGTCAGGTTTAGGGAAATTCTCAGGAATTAAACTAATAGTAAATCATGCAAATTAATTAAGATTATTTATCGAACCGTTTTAGAACTCAAATCACTAATGTATAGCCAACCACCTCTCGAATGTATTGGCTAACTAAACCTAATATCAGGATTCAGGAAGTTCCACCTCTCAAATGTAAACTCCTAGAATTAGACTAGCATTAATAACATGTTTGATATGTTCATAAATATTCCTAGACCACCTCTCGAAAGTATCTAGTAATTTCAGTTCACCTAAGATAGTTCCAGTAATAGATGACCTCTCGAATCTACCTATTATCCTATGATCAAGTTCTAGTTAGCTACTCTAGAACTAGCATTAAGAACAATTTAAGGTCAAGAACTCTAAAGATTAATCCTAACAGATAATAGATCTACTAATTCATCTAAATCCCTAATGAGAATCCCTAAACCTAACAGGAAGATTACTAAGACATGATTAAAGAAACAGAAAACATGTTGGAATAAATTGCAATATAAGAAATTAAAAGAAGAATAGAGTTTAGAATAAAATTTCTCTCTACATGGATTTGAAAACTCTGAAAGTAGCTATCTCCAATTATCTTTCAAATGGTTCAAGCTCAGAGAATTACAAAGCGAAAAGCAAGATAATGAATAATTAAAACCCTAAAAACTATTTATAATGTCTCAAAAAACGTGCAGGGACTAAAGTTGCAAACAGAGAAGTCTTTGAGGTTGATTTTTCGGGCTTAAAACTCTTAAACCGTCGAGACTTTTGATGGGGCTCGACCTCGTGTGGTGTCGATCGACACCAGGGCGTGTCGATCGACACCAGGGCGTGTCGGTCGGCACTCATGCCTTATTCTGATACCGAATTCGTTCCTTCAGCTCTTAATCTCCGGTTTAGCTCCAGAATGGTTCTTTATCTCCAAATTTGTCTCGAACGTGTTAAAACCTGAAAAGACTCAAAAAAGACTCTAGAAATAACAAAAAGACTCTAAAACTGACACATATATCATGGCTAAATAAATCTGTGATATATCAAAGAGTAGAGAAAGAAGTTAATGCATCTGCTTTTACATTGGAAGATGTGATAATTTTGAGATGGAGGGGGAGGAAGGAGATTGCTTATTCAAATCACTACAAATTCAACAACGTTGAAACAAAAAGTGATGGGTCTCACAGTGCCACGTGGCAGTCAGCGAATGGATAATTTTTATACTTATATGATAATATTTGCATATAGACATATGTTCTGTTTTTATTGGATATTGAAATTTTAGATATTTCTTATCTAACCCAATTATTTGAGATTAAATATATCATAAAATATAAAATATTATTTTAATTTTTTAATACCAAAATTCATCATTTTTCATACTCTATAAATAGAGACTTGTTTCACTTAATTTGGACACAGAAAAAAAAATCATCTTTCTTACTATTCTTTTGCTATTAGCCTTCATAAACTCTTGTTTATTGTTTTACCCATCTTTTTACTAAAATTAAAAATAATATATAAAATAAAAACAAAAACAAAAATTATTTTCTAAACTTTTTTTACTTATTTTAGTTTCATTTGATATTAATTGTTATTAATAATATGTAATCACAAATAAATAAATGAAAAATATGTTGGGTAAGGTGTTGTAATTTTATTGAAAATTTTAAAGTATGATCATATTTTACCAAAAAAAAAACTATGATCATATTCGCCAAGAATAAAAAAAGTAGTGAATATTAACATCAAAACAAAACTTTAATCATATTTTTTGGATGGCTTCTCTATATTGTATCAAATAATAGGACTAAACAAGTAAAAGCAGAAAGTGTAAGGGTTTGATGAAGTGTAAATCTAAGATTCTGATCTCACTCTCTTCCAAAAAGAAGATCCCTTGCCTTGCGATCAAGGAGATTGGTCTTTCTTTTTTCTCATGCATCTATATTACTTACGATCATCTCGCTTTCCTCTTCCACACTTTGTAAATTCAAATTAACCAGAAAAGAACATAACTACGTATATATACATGGTACATCTCATATCCCTTTAACAAAACTATATATATGCTCAGCTTCAGCTTTGAAAATCTGCCATAGTTCTTTTCACTGCCACTCAACATATGTTTGGCGTTTACAGCTTTAGAAACTTGTCCAAATATATCTCCTAATATGAAATTTGCAAAATGGGTTTTACTTTAGAACCCTAGAAGTGAAAACTGATTTGTTCTTGTAGATAATTTATGATTAATGTGTTGTTGGTAGAGAGTCGTTGACTGATTCTTGAACCTCTACGATGTTGTAGGCCTTTTGAATAAGGATGAACATTTTGGTTTTGAATGGTTGGTAAGTATGGTGCGGACCGGACAATGCATACCAATATTTTAGTATGCAAAAGGTCGGACTGTAGTATGGAGCAAACAATTATATGTTGGTATGGAGTTTATGTTGGTATGGAGCTTTTGGGAAGTGGAATGAAAAAATTGCGGACCAACAGTGAATTTATGATGGTATGGAGAAGTATGCTGAAGTGCATACTAGTATGGAGATTTTTAGTATGCAACCGTGCATACTAGTCCAGAATACTGAATGGTGAATTAAGTGCATACTGATCCGATTTTAGTCTGGTCTGCAGCATAATATACAACCATTCAAAGCCTTTGTCTAAACCAGAAGCTCAAGAACGTTTGTCTCACTATAGTGGTCTGCCTTTTGTTCTCTTTATGTTGTGTGTGCATGTGTCTAAACCCAAGTCACCTTAATCCAATTTTTCCAAAATAGCGTTTTTTAAAGTTGTAGGCCTTTATCATATTTGGATTGGTTAAAAGATGCATATATAGATAAACTATATACTATCAACCCAACATTAAGAATTAACAAAAATTCAATAAGGCTCATGTACTATTATCGTTTATTTCTAAATCAATCCACATGTAAACAGAGCATATGAGAAAGTTAAACAAAATCAACTTTCAAAGAAGGGAAAAGCTCCATATACTCTGCTCCAACAACAAAGAGAGCAGAAATTGCTTCTGAATCAAAAGTGAGGACACAACTATTGAATTCAGATTTGTAATAAAACACGAAAAATCCAAAATCTAAACTTGATGTAATATGAATTATTAAGGAACTGAGATCAAATTTGGAAGATAGACAGTGAGAAAACCGAACAATCCATGAATCAATCTGAATCCTCTTGAACATACCTCCCCTTACCATATAGATGCAAACAGCTCCAGTTTCGCCTTCGCCACAACACATGATTAGGGTCTTGTCAAAGATGAAATAACTAATGCCACAATACTTATTAACTAGCTTAGGCAAGTTGGTTGTTGACAATGTCATCAATCTTTTTCAAATATATATATTAAAATACGTTTTTAGAGTGTAATTTATTTTAAGTTGTATCATATTTGGATTGATAAAAGATGCATGTAGATTAAGCTATACTAGCAACCCAACCTTAAAAAGGTTTACAAAATCAAGAAGGTTCATATTTATTTCCAAGTCAGTCCACATGAAAACAGAGCAAATAAGAAATTTAAACTTTGTATTAGCTGTTCCCTGAAGAGAATTTACTTCTGAAACGAATTGAGATTTGTAATAAAGCAAGAAAATCCAACATTTAAACTTGTAGCGATCTGAATTATAAAGGAACCGATAACAAATTTGGAAGATAGACACAGTGAGAAAACCGAACACTACCGGAATCTATTTGAATCTTCTTGAATATATCTCCCTTCACAAAATAGATGCAAGCGGCTCCAGTTTGGTGGTCGCCACAACACATGATTAGGGTCTTGTCATAGATGAAGTAACTAATGCCACAAAACTTATTAACCAACTTAGACAAGTTAGTTGTTGGCAAAGTCATCAAGTTTATCCACACTACTTCCTCTCCATCAATCTTCTTCTTCGTTACCCAAATATCAATCTTCCCTGTTACATTACATTGCTTTAACAACGAAAACCGATCTCTTTTAAAAACCGCGAGGACAAGTTCATCTCGAGAACGGTTCTTTAGACAGGGCAGGAGACAAAAAGGTTTGAATATCTCCTTGGAGAAATCAAAGCTTCGGATGAAATACTTATAAGTCTCAGGTTCATGAGTAAGCCAATAGAGATTCCCGTTCAAGGACAAAGGTGCCATGATGGGCCACTGCGTGAAAGGGGCATCAATGAACTTCAACGCATGAGACGAACACTCGTAAATCGCAACTCTGCGGTAACTTACATGGTAAGTGTCGCTGACTTTACGGAGACAATTAAAATACCCCAAGATCTTGTAACTCTTTTCGGGTTTACAACTATCGTATCCTACACCGCAAAAATGGAAACCTTTATCCTCGTACTCGATCCATCCAACCTGTCTCAACCACGGATTCCAAACCGCAACACCTTGCTTCCAAAAGTCACGAAACAATAACCCATCGCAAGCGGTGATGGTGGTATGCATCAAATCCATAGCCTAATAAATAAGACAGAAACTAATATCAGAAACTAAATTATTATTTATTAGATTATTAGAAAACTAAATTATTTTTCGTCCTGTCTTGGTCTTATAGCATCCCATGTCTTAGATTGGTCTGCACGCATAACAAGAATTGGCGAGGTGTGTTCGGCCAATCCCCACATGAGGACTATTTTGGTGTCCTCTGGTGCAAAGTTTTACAATATAAAATGTTTATTTCAAAGTTAAAAAATATAAATAGTCGGATGGAATTGAGGTCATTTTGGTGTCCTCTGGTGCAATTGGCCTTGGTCGCCAGAGGCTTCGATACAGACAATTTGTCAACAGCAGGTTATGTAATAATGGAAACAAAGCCTTTAGTTTTGCTTCCTCAATAACTGTTATATATATCCTTTTTTTCTGTTTTGTGCTGATTCTTCCTTCTTCTCTACGGATTCCAGCTTAAAGGACCTCCCGAAGACGCAAACGGAGTTTGATGGGAAGGCTTGTGCTGCTGTTGGACAGAGCAGCCTCATGGCTTACTACGAGACTATGTTTGACCAGGTCTTTTTTTTTCATATCTATACAACATTATACAAGATGCATATAGATTAAGCTATACTAAGAACCCAACCAAGAAACTTCATAAAAAGATGTCAAGAAGGCTCATGTACTAAACCAATCCACATGGAGACCAGAGGATATTGTATATAAAAGAAATGAAAACAGAATCACATTTCAAACATAATCACATTTCAAAAGACTGGAAAGGCTTTGTACTCTCTTTATTCAAACTATCCAATTGAGATATGCATAATAAACAAGAAAAATCCAAATTCTAAACTTGCACTGATTTGAATTCAGAAGGAACCGAGATCAAATTTGGAAGATAGACACAGTGAGAAAAATGATCAAAGCCAGAACCTATTTGAATCTTCTTGCACATGTCTCCCCTCGCAATAAAGATGCAAGCCACTCCGGTTTGATCGGCGCCACAACACATGATAAGGGTCTTGTCATAAATGAAGTATCTAATACCAGAAAACTGATTGAATAGCGAAGGAAAGTTAGGTATTGACAGTGTCATCAAGTTTAACCACACCACGTCATCCTTATTACAATTGTTAATCTTCTCCTTTGTTACCCAAACCTCTGTATTCCTTGATATACGAGATTGCTTTAACAATGCAAACCTATCTCCCTTAAATACAGTGAGGACAAGTTTATATAGTGAGCCAGAAACATGCTTCCCACAAGGAGGGAGACAAAAGCGCATCGATATTTCCGTGGAGAAATCAAAGCTTCCGAGAAAATACTCACGAGTCTCTTCATTGTAAGAAGTCCAATACAAATTTCCGTTCAAGGACACATATTCACCTAAACCTGCCAGCATTGGCCAATCCAGGGAATCAAAGTACCCCAAGATCTTGTAACCCTTTTCGGGTTTAGTAGTATCGTATCCTAATTCCTACACCCAATAAATGGAAATCTCTGTCCTCGTACTCGTACTCTATCAATCCAACCTGTCTCAAACATGGATTCCAAATGGTAACCCCTTGCATCCAAAAGTGACGAAACAATAATCCATCGCAAGCCGTGATACGGGTATATGTCGACTTCTTAGCCTCAAAATGTAATTCAGAGGCTAGTTCATTCACCTCTATCGTCGAATAAATCTTGGATTTGGTCAGGATGATGAATTGGGGACGGGCACGAGCTAAGCTGTTGTTGATGAACCTTTTGTCGTTGAAAAGATGTTTCCAGTGTTTACATACAGATCTGAACCGAACAAGAGATCGAGGTGGAAGCCGAGACAGTATCTCTTCCTCCAACTCCCGCGGAAGCTTCCCCGACGCCATTACCTTTCTCTCACTTCGGTGGCTTTCGCGTGTGGCTCCTCTCCCAATCAAGTAAGCAGAGAATCTATATTATTTCGCGTTTGTGCCTTTATTTAATTAATAAGAAAAGTGAAAAGTGATCCTTTTTTCTTTATCTATATCTGTTAGGAAAATGAAATAACACCCTTTTTTTTTTTTCCTTTTTTTTTTTTTTTTTGGAAAAAGTGACATATATTTAATCTAAAAATAAAGTCTAAAATGAAAAATAATTTTCAATATTTACTAGGTCACGAACCTCTACGATGTTGGCAGAACTTATTTTCAACAAATATATTTGATTATGTTTATGTATTAAATTATTATATGATAATAAATGTCCATACTTTAACGGAAAAATACGATAAAATGACACAAACGTAAAAAGTAACCGTCAATATTTTAACGGAAAGTTACGATAAAAAATAACCATCAATATTTTAACGGAAAATTGCGATAAAAAGACAACCGAAAAATAACCGTCAACAAAAAAAAATAACCGTCAATATTTTAACAAATATTTGCGATAAAAACACAACTGAAAAAATAACCGTTAATATTTTAACGGAAATTACGATAAAAAAACATAACTATTCAGAAGTGCAAAAGACATTTATTGAGATTGGAAGAGAGAGAAGATGATGAGGAGTGTTTAAAAAAAAGGTGGGTGTTGTAAATATAAAACATAAGAAGGTGGTAATTGTTTTTTGAGAAATTGTTAAAAGTGTCCCTTTTTTAATACCCCTTTTCAAAAATGCCCCCTTTGAGAGTCCATTTTTAAGTTTGCCCTCTTTTAATTTTTAATGACCATTTTACCCTTATTTGAAACAAAATTAGTTCCACAAAATACAAAATATTTTTTGGCAGGAAAAGTGATCCCGCAATTTTCCCGCCAAAACACTTGTAAAAAACCTTTAAAATACCTTGTAAAATTTTCCCGTAAAAATTTTCCCGCCAAAAAAATTTTTTTGCGGGAAAAGTGATTCCGCAATTTTTTTGGCGGGAAAAATTTACAAGGTATTTTAAAGGTTTTACGAAGTATTTACAAGTGTTTTGTAAGGTTTTACAATGTATTTTAAAAGGTTTTACAAGGTACTTATAAAGTTTTATAAGGAATTTATAACATGTAAAACCTTATAAAAAACTTGTAAAATCTTATAACTTGTAAAACCTTATAAAATAGCTTGTAAAATCTTATAAATACCTTATAAATACGTTGTAAAACCTTTTAAAATACATTGTAAAACCTTATAAATATCCTGTAAAAAACCTTTAAAATACCTTGTAAATTTTTCCCGCCAAAAATTTAACGCCAAAAAAATTACGGAATCACTTTTCTTGCAAAAAAAATTTTTTGGCGGGAAAAAATTTTACGGGAAAATTTTACAAGGTTTTTTACAAGTGATTTGGCGGGAAAAATTGAGGGATCACTTTTCCCGCCAAAAAATATTTTGTATTTTGTGGACCTAATTTTGTTATATTTCCTTATATATTTGTGATATCTTTTATTAAAAGAAGGGTAATTTAATCATTTTGTACATAAAAAGGGGTATTTTAAAAAATGGACAGCCAAAAGGGGCATTTTTGAAAAGGGGTATTGAAAAAGGGGCATTTTTGTGAGTCTCCCTTGTTTTTTTTAGTCAATTTTTTTTTTCAAAAATAATAGAATTGGATTACGAAAGTGAAAGAGCAAAATTTGAGAGTTTTGCCATGTATCAAATGTGAGTGTTGCAATCATATATATAAAAGTTGGCTAACTCTCTCCATATAAGTGTCACATCATCACACATGTCATTTTATATTATTTAAATTAAAATTTCACAAAAAGAAATGAGGAAAATCAAAAGTCCTCCATTACATAAAATCCTCCATCATTCTACTCTTAATTAATTTTTTTCAAAAGAAAAAAAATATATACAAAAACATGTTAATGTATCAAGCATTACTTTCATTCTACAATTTTTCTTTTAGGAATTTTTTTATCAATGATCATTACTCGATAATAACTGAAAATTTACTTATTTTGTAGTTTAACTATTTGTTACCTAATTTCTTATTAGTTTAGTAATTCTTTGAGTCATTTTTCGCAACTACGTTTGGTGGTTCATATATGACGTTTGTTGATAATATTGACAAGCAAGTTTTTTCAAATAATGAACTTTTGAAACGTTAGACATACCAAGAAATTCAAGACACCGCACTCTTCTCTTATATGGCTATATGTAAGGACAGAGATATAATAGTGTTAAGTTAAATAACTCTTCAATTTTTTGCTTTCTTTTTCTTCTTTTCATATGAAAACTCTTGAAGCAAATAAGTAGTTAGTTATACTTATCTTGTTTATATTATGTTATTCAAATATTAAATCATGAGCCTATCACGATGTGGATGAAGTACTAGATCATGATAGTACATAAAATAATGAATTGTTTGTTCATAATCAAGTTAGGCAAGTATCAAATTACACAAGTGACATAATTACATACCATTATATCAAAATATCATATATTGTTGTTGTATGTATTCAAGATATATCATATATAAGGATCTTAATTATGTATATAAATAATCAAAAATGAATCTAATTATAAAAATTGTAACTACATAGGATGTATTTAATTTTATTAACTACATAATAACACACAAAATGAACATAAATTAACAATAAGAACAATAAACATGATTTTCTAAAAAAAATTTATAACAACAACCCACGCGTAGCGTGAATATTCATCTAGTATTTGTTAAAGTGACTGTTGATTTAGTAGAAATATATAGATAGATATATTTGAAACAATGGCTAGAAAGCCACTTTCTCGAAAAAAAAACGCTGGAATGCCACTGCCATATTTGTAATTTTATTTACCATTTTTTTAAATCAAAAATGGTAGAAATGTCCAAAAAACCTATAAGAAAACTGGAAATTACAGATCCAACCAAAACAATCCGACCCAAATCCAATAAAACGGATTATCCGATCCAATCTAAGGGTGAATAACACTAAATCCCTAATTATAAAAGGGAAAAATGTCGAAAAATGCGCCAACTTTCAAATTTGGGACGGTTAAAGCATGAACTCTCGAAATGTCTCTTTAATCACAAAGTTTCTGTTGACCTATCTGAAAATAGCTAAGTTTTCGTTGACCTGGCCAAATTAGGCATCGCGTTAAGTCCCCGTTAGAACGACGCTGACGCTGTTAACAATCCGTTACAAGTCTCCGTTGGATCAAAACGACGTCGTTTTGTCGTTTCACCAGAAAATAAGAAGGAAAAATGGCATCTTCAAAGATTCGAACTGCTGACCTGTTACCCTAATAAAAGACACTCAACCATTGAGCTACGAGAACATTTTAATGTTTTAACAAACAGAACGTTTATATATACTTTGAAGCAATAATTTTGAGGAAGCATAGAAATTTTATCTACTTAGGAACTATATAAATGAGTAGAAGATTAAAGAGTTGCACCAGAGACTGAAAGACTGAGATTTGTTTGGTTCTAAATAATAGAATCATATGGTGAAAAGGAATTACGTACAACTAGATCATTTAGGTACAACTAGATCACTTAGGTACAGCTGAGACAATTTCAGTATAACTTGAACTATTTGTTGCAATTGCACTATTTGATTGTTCGGATAGTTTATTGTTTTTTGGTGCAACTCATAAATTAGATATAACTATGTGTGTAAAACAATTTTAAGAACATATGACTTCATGTTTTTGTGAAAAAAAATATTTAGGTACAACTACGTGTAGGTACAACTGATATATTTAGGTACAACTGGTATATTTAGGTACAAGTATGTATAGGTACAACTAGTATATTTAGGTACAACTACAAGGTCCTTTCGAGTTTTCTAAAAAATAACAAATTAATTAAAATTGATATTAAAATGAATTTAAATATGACTGGCGTGAAAAATAATAATAAAATGGACCTTTGGCGGCGGGTTATTAATTTAAAATCATCACACGTGCTGTAAAGTGGACCAAAGACAGTGGGATATTCATAAAAAATTGTTTGTTACAAAACATAGTTGTACCTAGTTATTCATTTGTACTCTCATATTCATAGTTGGACTTTGCCAATTTTTCCGTATTTGCAGTTGGACTATAATATAAATTATTAATTAGTAGTTGGATACATGATTTGGGCATTAGAATATTACATAACAATATATGTCGTACATAAGGAAGAGATCACTAAACCACCGGATTACACACCAAAAAGTGGAAGAAATCAAGAAACGCGGTTTCCATCAACCGGAGAAAAACGCCTCTATAGAACGAAGAACAAGGCTACGCCTGGGATAAACTTGGAAAATTGGTTGCAAATTAGAGAATTTAATTTGTCTGTTTTGAATTTGCATTTCTCAAATTTGTATGAACTATTCACCTAGTTCAACTTGGTTCAACTTATTGGATTAAATTAAAAACATGTATGTGTTTGTTTTTTTGTTCTATTTTAATTTAAGTAGTTCAACTAGTTCAAATGTTTGTTTTTGGTTTTTGTGGTAACATTTAATATAATTAGTTCAACTAGTTCAACTAAGTAACGCTAAAATGTTTAAATTTGTTGATTTTTCAGAATTGATAATTTATTTAAACGTAAAATTATATATTAAATTCTCCAAAATATAAACAAACTATTTTGGATCAATACAATAAAAATTTAATAATTTCTAAGAAATAAATGTTGTTTCACATAAAACACCTCTTATGATATAAGAAATACTTAGTATATGATCACCTTATATGAAGTAAAAAAGGTGAAAACCAAGTTTTCACCAATGTTCCATTATGAAAACTTTGGAAATGCAAAATAAATTAGAGAAATCATGTGTCCAACTTGCAATTAATTATCTACAGTCTCATTCAACTGCAAATTATAAAAATTATGGAAAGTCCAACTATGATTACGATAGTACAACTGGACAACTATGAGTATATTCCGTCCAGAAAAAAACAAAAAAAAAAACCTTTTTAGTGGGGCCCACATATTGAGTAAGTACAACATTAAATAAAAATCAAATGCTGAACGTTTTTTTTGGGCCCACATGCTGAGAGGTTTTTTTTTTTGAGTTTTTTTTTTGCTTTTTAAAAATTAAAGGAAGAATAATTCATTACGGGTAAAATGGATATTACATATATAGAGTGGCATAGAGACTCTAAAATGGCATGTCTGATTCATTTTTCTTGTTTAGTGGCATTCTAGCCTCTGTCTCGATATATTTTGGAGTATTTTTGCTAAATTTATTTTTTCTTTCTCTTAGGCCGTTGCTTTAATAATCTCAAGAGTCCGAGGCTAGTATGCCACTTAATGGAAAAAATAAATCCGGCATGCCATTTTGTGATCTGAATGCCACTGTAAATGTGATATCCCCAAATTACCCTTAATGAAATAACAGACGATCGGTACAACTAAGAGATGATAGTACAACTGGTACAGATGAGGGATTATAGGACAACTGATACAAATAGTATAACTGAGAGATAATAGGAGAACTGGTACAAATGATACAAATGAAAGATAATAGTATAATTGGTACAAATGGTATAACTGAAATATAAATAGGTACAACTGCTACAAATAGTTATGGACAACTGGTATAACTGGTATAAATGGTTCTACTGAAACAAAGCAATTTGTAATTCTAAACTCTAATTCTAAACCCTAGCGCCGTCACACTCACTAATTCGTCTCTTCTTGCTTTCTTCACTATCGTCGTCGCCGATTCACCATCACCCTTCCTCGTCGAAGTTTGTGGACCGTCTTCTCTCACCAAACGATTGCGCACTACAAAGGACGAAAGCACGAAGAGAAATCCATGGAGAAGAAGCTTGAAGAGAGATCCATGATTTTTGAATCTCAGAAATCCATGGAGAAGAAGCATGAAGAGATATCCGATCCATAAAGAAGAGCAAAGAGAGATCCATGGAGAAGAAAAGATCTTGAGTTTAATTGATGATGATGATGGAGAAAAAGAGATCTAAAGTGAAAGATCTAAAAAATCGAGAAAAAAGTAAAAGAAGAAGGAGAAAAAAAAAAAAAGAGGAGGCGTGAAAAAAGAAGTAGAAGTGTAATTATGTTATTGGATTAGCAAAAGAAAGGGTAAAGATACGTAATAATTAGATTAGGAAATGGGTTTTTTTGTCTTTTTATATTAATTTGATTTAAATTTATTTTTTTAGAAAATTGAAATTAGATGGGTTGCATTTTAGAATTTTTTTTCTCACATAGTGGCTTTCTAGCCATTGTTTCCTCAAGTCTGATGAACATCGCTTCCGTTTTCTCCAAAACCAGACGAAGGCAAAATCTATCCAATCCCTAAACCGTCACATTTTGGCGCCAATTTCATCTTCCTCATCATGGCCACCGATTCCAGCGGAGTCACAATCTCCGGCAATTTCTCAAATGGCGAGAACGCAGAAACCCTAAACCTCGACACTACAGAACTCTACTCATCAGCAATATCCTCCGTCTCTACACAATCTCCCCCACCGAAACCACCGTTCTCATCTCTTTCAATCCCTCAATCAAAACGAATCCCTAAAACTAACTTCATCGTCGATCTCTTCCGCTTCCCACAACATTCCTCCACCTCCGTCGCTTTCTTCCTCTCACATTTCCATTCCGATCACTATTCCGGTCTCTCCTCTACTTGGTCTAAAGGAATTATCTTCTGCTCACACAAAACCGCTCGTCTCGTCGAAGAAATCCTTCAAGTTCCTTCACAATTCGTCTTCGCTTTACCTATGAACCAAATGGTTATGATCGATGGCTCTGAAGTTGTGTTGATTGAAGCAAATCACTGTCCAGGAGCGGTACAGTTTTTGTTTAAAGTCAAATTAGAGAACGGTGGATTTGAGAGGTATGTTCATACTGGAGATTTCAGATTCTGTGATGAGATGAGATTTGATTCGTTTCTTAGTGGTTTTATTGGATGTGATGGTGTTTTTCTGGATACTACTTATTGTAATCCTAAGTTTGTTTTTCCGACGCAAGAGGAATCTGTTGGTTATGTTGTTAGTGTGATAGATAAGATTGATGGTGAGTGTGTGGAGACGAAGAAGAAGGTTTTGTTTCTTGTTGCTACTTATGTTATTGGTAAAGAGAAGATTTTGGTTGAGATTGCTAGGAGATGTAAGAGGAAAATTGTTGTGGATCTCAGGAAGATGTCGATTTTGGGGATTTTGGGGTGTGGGGAGAGTGGAATGTTTACGGAGGATGTGAATGAGAGTGATGTTCATGTTGTGGGGTGGAATGTGTTGGGAGAGACTTGGCCGTATTTTCGGCCGAATTTTGTGAAGATGAATGAGATTATGGTCGAGAAAGGGTATGATAAGGTTGTAGGTTTTGTGCCTACAGGGTGGACTTATGAAGTGAAGCGGAATAAGTTTGCGGTTAGGTTTAAAGATTCGATGGAGATTCATCTTGTACCGTATAGTGAGCATTCAAACTATGATGAGCTTAGAGAGTACATAAAGTTCTTGAAACCTAAAAGAGTTATTCCTACAGTTGGAGTTGATATCGAGAAGCTTGATAGCAAGGAGGTTAATAAGATGCAGAAACATTTTTCTGGATTGGTAGATGAAATGGCAAACAAGAAAGATTTTTTATTGGGTTTCTATTGCCAGTCTTACCAGAAGAATGAGAAAAATGACGTAGATGTTGTGTCAGGCTTGGCTGAGGTCTACGCAGGGGACGATAAAAATGCATGTGAAGACGGTGGAGATAATGTTCCATCATCTAGAGGACCCTTATTGCATGATACAGCTCCAAGTAGTGATTCTTCGGTGACCGAAAGATTGCTTGTAGAACTACGTGATTCTTTGCCTGCTTGGGTCACTGAAGAGCAGATGTTAAATCTGATTAAGAAGCATGCTGGTAATCCCGTGGAAATAGTTAGTAACTTTTATGAATGTGAAGCAGAGCTTTACAAGCAATCCTCTCTTCCCACGCTTTCCTTGGAAAATCAGCCTGTTTTGTTTGATGACGATGTAACAGACTTGCAACCAAATCCTGTGAAGAGCACTTGTCCAGATGTTCAAGCAGTTCAAGAAGGTTTTGACTTACCAAAAAAAATGAATTTAACAAAGGGTACTATTTCTCCTGGGAAAAGAGGCAAAAGCTCGGGCAGTAAATCAAACAAGAAGGCCAAGAAAGATCCAAAATCAAGACCAGTTAGTCCAAGGCAGCCAACCATTTTTAAGTTCTTCAATAAGGTCTTGGATAGTGGATCTAATTCTGTTGGTGTTGGATCAGAGACTGAAGAGTGTAATACAGATAAAAAGATGGTCCACAATGATGCTACAGAAGCATACAAAGAAGTGACAGATCAATTTATTGATATTGTTAATGGCTCTGAATCTCTAAGAGATTATGCTGCTTCCATCATTGATGAGGCTAAAGGAGATATAAATAGGGCACTGAACATCTATTACAGTAACCCCATACCTGGTGAGGGAGGACTCTCCAGCAAATCAATTCAGTTTTCGCATTGTCCAGAAGCGTGCTCCTCTCAGGAGGGGAAAAAGGCGTCAGAAAAGTCAGGACATGCAGTCAACATATGTGTGCAGTCATCAGCAGAGGAAATTGTGGACAAAAATTATGTATCTCTACCTCCTGAACAATATAAACCTAAAGAGCACGGTTGGTATTTTTATATGCACAATCTTATAAATTTTATACCATATCTAGGGTTTTTTCTCTTAAATTTGAGAGAGTTTGTTTGCAAACAAATTGTTTGAAGTGTTGTAGGAATTTTTAGTCAACTTGCTGCATTTTTTCTGTGTATCCACGCCCATATGTGTTTTCGTATAATGCAGCCTGTTGGAGGGATGGACAGCCTGCTCCATATATCCACCTAGTCCGAACATTTGCTTCTGTTGAAAGTGAAAAGGGAAAGATCAAAGCTATGTCTATGCTTTGCAACATGTTTAGAAGGTTGCCTACTTTCTTTCTTTCTCGTTCACTCTGTTGAATAAGCTGCAGCAATGACATTTGGCACTTATAGATATGTAAATTCTCATCCATCAGCTTGTTGGCTCTCTCTCCAGAAGATGTTCTGCCCGCTGTTTATCTTTGCACAAATAAGATTTCGGCTGACCATGAGAATATTGTCAGTTTAAGTTTCTTATGTTTTCCCTTCTCTTTTTATTTAAATAACCTTAAAAGATTTTTCTGATCATGTATCAATTCGACAGGATCTTAACATTGGTGGAAGTCTAATCTCTTCTGCATTGGAAGAAGCATGTGGAATAAGTCGGCCTACTGTGAGGGATATGTATAATAGCACCGGAGATCTTGGTAAAGAAAAATCTATCCCATCACAGTTAACTTATGGTTATGTTATTTCTTCTGTACAACCCGCAAAAATATGTTTTAATTATCAAAAATTTCAGGAGATGTTGCGCAGCTATGTCGACAAACGCAAAAGCTACTGGTTCCTCCACCTCCACTTCTAATCAGAGATGTGTTTTCAACTCTACGAAAGATAAGGTAAAGAACTTAACTGGTTATGTGTTACAGCATAATAGCTACTGAGTGATGATGTTATGTGTCCTTTTGAAGATAAGAATATTCAGAGTTGCTTTTTCATCTGACTGTTATAATGGCTATATATGAGTTAAAGAACTTTATATAATTATATATAACGACATTTCTATATTCTGAATTTTGTGCCGGTTTGATGATGCCTCCCCTTGTGTCAGTAATTGATTTGAGCGTCTGTCCGAATGAAGCATGTTTCAATTTTTGTTGGATGATTATAATGATCATTGTTGTCTAGCCACAGTTTTTTTCTAAACTGAGTAATTCCATTAAGCTCCTAATAGTTTTCCTCAGTGTGCAGTCAGGTACTGGAAGTACTAGGCAAAAGAAAAACCTTATCGTGAAGCTAATGCGCTCTTGTAGAGAGAAAGAGATCAAATTTCTTGTAAGAACATTGGTAAGTATTCAAAAATAGTTTTTCCCAAAATATTGTTCACAACTTCTGTGTTTTAAGTTTTAACCAGCAATGTCCCTCGTCAGGTCCGTAATTTAAGGATTGGCGCTATGTTGAGAACTGTTCTTCCTGCACTTGGGCGAGCAATCGTTATGAATTCTTTTTGGAGTTGCCATAACAAAGAACTGTCAGAAAACTGTTTCAGGGAGAAACTTGAGGTTTGATACCTTACGTAGTTCAGATAAAGTGTTTTCTTGTCACTTATCAAGTCAAGTGTGTTCCAAAATTTATATTAAGGCTCATGGAGCTAAGAGGAAAGCTCAAAATTTCAGGGAGTTTCTGCTGCAGTAGTTGAGGCTTACAATATACTTCCTTCTCTGGTGAGCTTTTTAAGTGTCAACCTATACATTAATTTTCTTATGCGATTTAACAATTTAGGATGTAATTAATCAAGACACAGTGAAAAAAAATCAAGAATCTGAATTATCCTAATTATGTTGTTTTTGTAAAAATTTGAGTTCCACCGGTTTACAGCCTTCAAATTGTCCGTGCTTTGTCCTATTCAGTATAGTTACCAGCCTTCAAATTGTTGTTTCCAAATAGGACGTGGTTGTTCCTTCTCTCATGGACAAAGACATTGAGTTTTCAACGTCAACTCTATCAATGGTTCCAGGGATACCTATAAAACCCATGCTTGCTAAGTAATTGTGCAGATTCTCACGGCATCTTTGTTTGCAAGATAACGATTAATACTGCTGATCTCACGCCTTCATTACTGTTTTCTCATTGCAGAATTGCTAAGGGCGTCGAAGAATTTTTTGAGCTCTTCCAAGACAAGGCGTTTACTTGTGAATACAAGTAAGTTTGTCTCAAGAATAACTCTTAAACTACTCAAAACCGATAAATTTCTTATTAATGGGAATGTTCTGTAAGTTTGCACTCTGTTGATCTACACTAATCTTCTATGTTTCCTGAATTACCTTGCTATCATGTCTAAATATGACTTTCAGATATGATGGTCAGCGTGCCCAGATCCATAAGTTACTTGATGGTACTGTGCGTATCTTCTCTCGGAATGGGGACGAAACAACAGCGAGATTTCCGGATCTTGTTGATGTCATAAAACAGTTTTCTTGCCCTGTAGCGGAGACATTCATGTTGGACGCAGAGGTAGGAGAATGTTTCATAGAATTCATTGTATGCTTCTTTATCTCTCTCTAAACCCCTCTAGCAATGTGCAGAAAACGAGGCAAGGGACCTTTTATCGGCTTTCAATAATCAATCAGTAATTGTTTATCATGAGTTCTCTTGGTCATACATAGTGCATTGTTTTTTTTTAATGGGTTTAGGTGGTTGCAATTGATAGAAAAAATGGAAGCAAATTCATGTCATTCCAAGAGTTATCAACAAGAGAGAGAGGGAGCAAAGATGCTTTGGTAACTACCGAAAGTATTAAGGTATTAAACAAAATATCTGAACAACATTATTTCTACAATTAAATGATTATCAGTGTTTATGTCAAGAATTTCAGTAGTTTTCTCCATGATTTGTTTTGTTATATCAAATTCTGTCTTGGTCCCCTTGTTCTTTGTTGTAGTCACAGTTCTAAACCTGTCACCTGTTTTATCTCATGATCTTTTTGATTGCATGGATGTGGGGTTGGTTACTTGTTTTTGGACGTTACACTTGATTCCCAATTGAATGCTAGTATGGAAGTCCCGCATCTTCATACATGTTAATCTCTACTAATCCAGTTTTGTTCTATATGATTGACGCTTTCTTCATGGAGTTTTTCCTATTCTTCATTGTTACTCTTTGTGGATAGTCAATCTTTGTCTTTTGTCAGTTAAAATTAGTTTCCCAAGATGTTCTTTTAGACATTTTTCTTTTAATTTAATGGCTTTCTGCAGGTTGAAGTCTGCGTCTTTGTGTTTGATATTATGTTCGGCAATGGAGAACAGTATGAGTCTTTTACTCAATCTTTTTATTTTCATTTGAATTTTTCCTAATAATATATATGTTGAGTCAGTAATTTACTTAGCGTAACAATGCAGGCTGTTGGCTCTTCCTCTCCGTGAGAGAAGAAGACGTAACCCCCCAATTTCTCTCTTTTTTTTCCTTATTTCGATGCATTCATTTTCTCTGTCAGATTCATATATGCCCACTCTGATCTTACATGGTTATGCTCAAACTGTCAGGTCTAAAGGAGGTCTTCCCTGAGATTAGGCCAGGTTATCTTGAATATGCTAAGGAAATTACAGTAAGTGTTACGGTAGCTTCGCATCTTAAATTAATTGGCTAGAACATCGTAACACCTCACTCTGTAATTATGTGCTTTGGTATGTTCCTTCGATCATTTTTAATAGGTGGAAGCAGAAGAAGCTTCTTTGAATAATCAGGACACTTTGAGTAGAATAAATGCTTTTTTGGGAGAGGCATTTCAGTCATCTTGCGAAGGAATCATGGTTAAGTCTTTAGATATTGATGCAGGATACTTCCCCACAAAGCGTTATGATTCATGGCTCAAGGTCGTGTGCTGTAAATTTTCAAAACTTAACATAATGTGTTGGAAATGGATTAAATGGAGCTAATTTTTCTGGTTCAGGTTAAGCGAGATTATGTAGATGGATTGGGCGACACATTAGATTTAGTTCCTATAGGTGCTTGGCATGGCAACGGGAGAAAAGCGGGATGGTAGTAAAAGCATATTTCCCAACTCTTTTTCTCTCTTTCCTGAAAAAACAGTGTGTTTGAATTGGCCTTGTAGCTATGAAGCTCAACTGTAATCATAAGTTTACTTGGTAAATTTCTCAAATGAATTCTGATTATTTTTTCGATTTTCTGTGTAGGTATAGTCCACTCCTTATGGCCTGCTTCAACCCTGAGACTGAGGAATTCCAGAGTGTCTGCCGTGTCATGTCTGGGTTTTCTGATGCCTTTTACATCGAGGTAATAAAAATCTCAACTACACTATTGCACTTCTCCGTTTATGCATCTTTAATGATGAAAACTACGAATTTTGACATTGTGACTAAGGGTGGACATTCTGGTTTATGGTATGGTTTTATTGGGTTTCGTTTTTGGTAGTTTAAACTTTCTAGAAGCTGAAACCAGTAACAACCATTGGTATTCGGTTCTTTTCTGTTCGATTCAGTTTGATGCGATTTGATTTTGGTTTTGGGGTTTCTTTTGCTCTTGTTCCAGAATGATAAAACAGATTGGGTAGTAAATACATTTTAGTTCAAATTTTGTTTGGTCTTATATGTCGTCTCCTAATTCGTAGTTTAGCACCATTTCAAACGTGTTTCTAGTATCTAGGATCACCTATACTTTGTTTTACTTGCAGATGAAAGAACTCTACTCAGGGGATAAGATCCTTACGAAAAAGCCGCCTTACTACAGAACAGGGGAAACACCTGACATGTGGTTTTCCACAGAGGTTGTTTGGGAAATCAGAGGTGCAGATTTCACGGTCTCGCCTGTTCACAGTGCCGCTTTAGGTCTCGTCCATCCATCCCGAGGTATCTCCGTTAGGTTTCCGAGATTTATTCGTAAAGTAACAGACAGAAATCCGGAGGAATGCAGCACGGCTGCAGATATCGCAGAGATGTTTCATGCTCAAACCAGAAAATTGAACATCACCTCTCAACATTAACATGCTTCCTATCTGCTTTTGGTTCGTTTTGGCTATTAAGCACTTAAAACAAAATCTTGTGACCTGTGAGTAATTGCCAATGTTTTTGTGGTTTTTAATCGCTTTGTAAACTTACGTGTAAATATTTCTACTTAAAACCACGTAAATATTTAGCCAGTCTCTATATAACACTTTTTCTTTTTTGATGTCGTAAACACAAATGGTCTCATTGGTAACATACTAACATAATATGGTAATCTCTTATTGTTATAGTAATGAATTGATATATAAGAGATTGGTGGTATCAAAAATACTACCGTTATTTCTCTCATACAACAATTCCGTTCATGTTTACCGTTTTCTTTGAGAAATAACGTTTTGTGTCAATAATCGGATCGTTCATTTTCTCGCAATTACGAATTTGTTTTGTATCACTAATCGGATCAAACATAAAATTTCAATTTTTAGCATTTTTTCCCTCCTAGATTTCATGAGTTAAAGTACTCCTCCCGCCAATTAAACTTAACCGGTAATAGCCGGTCACCATTCCCACGGCAACCGGTTATAAGAAGCTTTCCCCAAAATTGAAAAAACATTTCATCTTCTCGAATCGCTTCGTCTTCTCTTGGAGCTTCCTCCGTTGATTAATCCTCTCCTGGGGGAAAAAAATTCGAAAAACCCTAGCTCTTCCTTCTTCTTGCTTCTCGCAGCTTTATCACCTTTCGAATTGTTAAAAGAGAGAAACTTTTCAATCTGGGTCTCTCTCTTTCCCAAGTTTGGATGTGGGTTTATTGAAATCTAGGGTTTTTCTTCGAATTGGTTGTTGATAAGAGAATGAGTGCAATTAACATCACCAACGTCGCTGTCTTCGATAATCCTGCTCCTTTTGTTAGCCCATTTCAGTTCGAGATTTCTTACGAGTGTTTGAATTCTCTCAATGACGGTAAAAATCTCCACTTTATTGATGTTTTACTCGGTTTATTTAGGTTTTAGTCTCTATTGATTCTTATGGCTTGGTCCTGTTTCAGACTCTTATGATTCTTGACACCAATAATTGGAACATATTGTTTACCCAATTGCTATATCAGAGCCATGATGTTAATTAACGATTGAATGGAGTAATTTGACTAATTTGAATGTGCTAAAGACTTTAACTTTGGATTTCTTGAATACTGATAGATCTTGAGGCTGCTTGTGTTTTAGTTGGATTCATCTATGCACAAGTTCTTCTTGAGTTACATTGTTATTTGGACGATGCTATTCTCTTGTGTGTCGAAAGTTCTCTTTTGGGCCGTTTTGCAGGGTGATATGTTTTGCCTTAATTAGTGTTTTCGTATGTTGTTCGCAATTGATTTGAAGTTTGGCTCTGTAAACTGTGATCAAGAATGATGCATTAGTTTTCCAGCATTCATGATTCTTGGATTTGCTTAGGAATTGTTATATCTTGATAAGATATGTTTCTGTTACTTGTCTTTATGCAATCGAAGCTAGCCATCTACTTTGATAGCTCTGATCATTTTCTTGTAAGAAAGATAATGGAAAACGATTGTTCTGACTGACCCCAGCTTTGCTTTTGGTACAGATTTGGAATGGAAACTTATCTATGTAGGCTCAGCAGAAGATGAGAGTTATGATCAACTTCTTGAGAGTGTGCTTGTAGGGCCTGTTAATGTTGGAAACTACCGCTTTGTATTGCAGGTAACATACACACTCCCTTGCTACAATCATGGTTTACTAAGTACCAGAAAAGCCTTGGTCTAACTCTCTGTTATTGTTACAGGCTGATCCTCCGGATCCATCAAAGATTCGAGAGGAAGACATCATTGGTGTCACTGTGCTATTGTTGACATGTTCTTACATGGGTCAAGAGTTCTTTAGAGTTGGATATTACGTGAACAATGACTACGAGGATGAGCAACTCAAGGAAGAGCCACCAACTAAGGTTATGATCGATAAAGTCCAGAGGAACATACTTTCCGACAAACCGAGAGTTACTAAATTCCCTATAAATTTTCATCCAGAAGAAGAGGAGACTGCTGCTCCTCGTTTCGAAACATCTGATGAACAACAACCTAATGTCAATGGTGAAGCTCAGGTTTTGCCTGATCAGCCAGCAAATCCAGAACACCAAGAATCATGATTCTTCCTTAACCCAAGTCTAGTTGAAAAAAAGTGGATCAGAACTAATGTCTCCAAAAGATGTTGCATTTTTGTTTTTCTCTATCTCAAAAGCAAGACCTCCAGTTTGTTGTACTTGTTTGTGGATTTAGAAGCTTTAGGGAAGTGATTGTGGACATGCTTTCTTTTTTGGTCAAAGATTTAATCGTAGCATAGCCAACATTAAGTTTCAAGGTAACAAAGACTGTCCATTTTAAGGTGGTTTTCCTGAACCGTAGCGTCCCAAACCCGCGATCTGTTGAAATAATTTCCTGTTTGAATGATTCATTTCTTAGATTTCGAAAATTGTTCCTTCCGCAAATTAGTGAGAATTTTGATAGTGATTAGCTAAGACTTGAAATTTTTTGAGATATAGTAGGGTTGTTTCTGATAAATTCATAAATAATAAGTCCGTTTCATAAAATACCAAAAATTACGGGTAAAAATTGAGACCAAAAGAATCTAATTCCTTATAAGCTCTTCCTTCTCTAGCCCTCGTCTTCGTCACCGGAGAAATCAAAACCCAATGTCGAAATCCAACGAAAACCAACCAGTTGATCGTTATCTCCGCCGTCAAATCCTCGGAGAAGGAACATACGGTGTCGTTTACAAAGCCACAGACACAAAGGTAAAACCCATCCCGATTTCAACTTTCATCAGATTTTAAAAAACTTTAAAAAGTTTCGATTTTTCAATCTCGTAGACTGGAAAAACTGTAGCAGTGAAGAAGATAAGATTAGGAAACGAAAAGGAAGGCATAAATTTCACAGCTTTGAGAGAGATAAAGCTATTAAAAGAGCTGAATCATCCACACATTGTTGAACTCATTGATGCTTTTCCTCACAATGGAAGTTTGCATTTAGTTTTTGAGTATATGCAAACGGATTTAGAAGCAGTGATTCGTGATCGTAATATCTTTTTATCACCTGGTGATATTAAGTCTTATATGTTGATGACTTTGAAGGGTTTAGGTTATTGTCATAAGAAATGGGTTCTTCACAGGTAAAGATGTGGAAGAAGTTGTGTTTTGGTTTATAAAGGTTTGATTTTGATAAATGAGTGTGAGAGTTTGTTTGTTTTTTGTGTTTGGTAGGGATATGAAGCCGAATAATTTGTTGATTGGAGAGAATGGTTTGTTGAAGTTGGCTGATTTTGGTTTGGCGAGGTTGTTTGGGAGTCCGAATCGGAGGTTTACTCATCAGGTATGGATGATAAGACCGTAAGATACTGTTTTGATGTTTGTTTGAATTGGCAGCTATATTAATGTAGTTATTGATGATCCAGTGATCGATATAGTTTGAAATTTATTGTTGAATTGGCAGCTAGATTAGTGTAGTTCTTGATGATCCAGTGTTCGATATAGTTTGAAATTTATTGTTGAATTGGCAGCTAGATTAGTGTAGTTCTTGATGATCCAGTGATCGATATAGTTTGAAATTTATTGTTGAATTGGCAGCTAGATTAGTGTAGTTCTTGATGATCCAGTGATCGATATAGTTTGAAATTTATTGTTGAATTGGCAGCTAAATTAGTCTAGAATTTGTAGTAAATATCTTGGCATTTCTTCTTGATGATCTTGGAATTTTCTGCTGGCAATGAAGACTCGTTTCCAGAGTATTGAGAAGATAGCATATGTAATTGCGATTTTTGCATACTTATGTGTGTTTGGTTTTTGTGAGGTGAAAGATTGTATTGACATTTTTTGACTCTAGAAGATTCTGAGATTGATTGGTTACTCATGTAGAAATCTCTTGTGATATTTTTTGTTTGAATTGGCAGCTAGATTAGTCTAGTTCTTGCTGATCTATTGGTTTTTTTTTTTTGCTGGGACAAACTAAGAATAGAAATATAGAGCATTGAGAAGACGTAGTAAGTTTTTAATTCGAATGCTTGGATACTTATGTTATCGGTATCGGTTTTAGTAAAGGTGGAAGGTTGGTGGTTGCAAGTTGCCAGATAACATTTTGTTGCTTACGGTCATATTAACGTTTTGACTCAATAAGATTCTGCAATTGATTGGCTGTGTAGAAATCGTTTTTGCTGGGAATGAAAAATTGATACAAGATTGATTCCCAGACATCATCTGGTTCTAATTTGTAGTCTTGCATACTTGTATTTTTCGATTTTGGTTAGATGAGAGATTGATGGTTCGAAGTCACAAGATACCATTTTGTTACTTACGGATGTATTAACATTGTTTACTATAAAAGATTCTGAGATTGGTTGTGTTACAAATGTAGACATTTGGTTAGATATATGTATCTGCTTGTGGAAGATTCGTTAAGTTTAAATTGGATCTAAAGATACCTATTCACACAGGTATTTGCTACATGGTACAGAGCGCCTGAGTTGTTATTTGGAAGTCGACAGTATGGAGCAGGAGTTGATGTTTGGGCTGCAGGTTGTATCTTTGCTGAGCTATTACTTCGTCGACCATTTCTACCGGTAATGTTCTATTCCTTTTGTACGATACATGTTTCACAAGTTTTTTCAAAACATGTCCTGTACTTCAGAATTGTCTTGATATTCGTGAAAATTTGGGTATGATCATATCTTGTTAAGTTTTCAAGGATATTGTCAGAACCTCTTCATATGTTTCTGCATCAATAGATTAGATCTCTGAACAGCTTTAAGTGACCTTGACTACGTTTGTTTCTGTAGGGTTCTACTGAGATTGATCAACTTGGAAAGATCTTTCAGGCTTTTGGAACTCCAGTACCTTCGCAATGGTCTGATATGATCTATCTCCCAGACTACATGGAGTTCTCTTATACACCTGCTCCACCATTACGTACCATTTTTCCTATGGCAAGCGATGACGCTTTGGATCTTCTAGCAAAAATGTTCATCTACGACCCACGACAAAGGATCACAATACAGCAAGCTTTAGACCACAGGTATACTCTTGAAAAAGAAACTCACGGGACGAAAATTCCATTTTATCTCTCTGATTCTCATCCTTTTTTTATCAGGTATTTCTCGTCTTCTCCATCACCAACTGAGCCAGGGAAGCTTCAGATTCCGGCTTCAAAAGGAGACGCACTCGAACCAAAGGCCTCCGAGCAAAACCAACACGCAAATAGCCCGGCCGTACTGTCACCTCCTGGTAAAATGAGGAGAGTAATGGGTCCTGAGGGATTCACTTGAAAACATAATGTTTAAACTTTTTTCCTACAGTATCATCATTTGTGGTGGTATATGGCTTTGATTCTAGAATCGCGTTTTGTAACACCTTTCTTCAAATTAGTTTACCAATCAAAACCATACAAAGTATCAATTTACAAAGAAATGAGAAGCCATATTTTGATGTCGGCCACGTCGAAGTCAAATTCCTCCGAACCTTAAACTGATAAAGATACATGATCCTGAATAAACCTTAAATTCATCCTAAATTTGAAATATAAACACTGACAGAAAAACACACACACACACTAAACATTGTTTTTATACAAATAAGAAACATGTACTACATTCTCACACTAACATGTTTTCTTAACTATGAACCAATAATAATACAAATATTCTCAATTAATCGTTTTTTAACTTTGCAATTTATTAACATTAATTAAGAAAATTTACATAGAAAATCAATTTTTATAAAACAAAAAAAAAAAACCCTATATATTCACTCTTTTAAGAACATAGGAAGTATGAGTTATATTCCATATACTTCCATAATACTGCAGAAGTGGGTTGAGCCCTCTCTCTCTTCTCTCTTCCATATTTTCCAGAGAGAGAGTTGGCTGCCGTTCCTCACCCGCCGTCTGGAATTCTCCGGCAAGGCCGTCCAGTTAGTTTAACTGGCTTCAGCCCGACATCCACCGACTTCTTATGCGGAGATGGTCGGCTTTCGTCCAGCAAATCCGGCTTCCACAAGTGGTTTTGGCTGGTTTTGTATTTTCTTCCGCCGTGAATCGGTTTCATGCCGATTTCTTTAGTCTGTTTAGTTTATCTTTTAATAATCTCTCTGGATCTATGTTTGGTGGTGCCAATCCGGCAATTTCTCGATCAACGGTGGTCTTCTCCGACTAGCTCCTTGAGTTTTGCTTTGTTTTATGTCTCCGGTTGTTTCCAGTGGGATTATGCCATGTCTAATCCGGCCAGATCGGGTGGATTTGCTGCTTTCTCTCTCGGATGTTCTCAAACCGGTTTTCAGATCTGTGGTTTACAACAAATCTTCATCGGTGATTACGTTCAAAGTCATGAAAAGAAGACTTGTTTCCAGCATATGAAGATTGCCTGTAGCCGTTTCTACATGTAATTGAAGCTTCGATCAAGCAAATTTCTGTGGATCAATCTGATTTCCCCTTTCCTGCTTTCGCCGGATTTCAGTGTTTGGTGATTTGATAAGTTGATGGGGTTGAAATCTCTGTTATGGTATCCCTTCTCTCTGTTTATGCAGTCTCCGGTGAGAAACAACAAAAAAATCGATGCTTTACCATTTTCCGGCGTCGATTGAGTTCACCGGAATCGGAGTAATTGACGGCAAAGGATGACGGAAAGTTTCCACGATTTTCTTGCAACACGTTTCATCTACGTATCTGTGTGTTTGACACGTGTATTAAGCAAGATTTTATCCTTCTTTTAAGTGATGTATGTAATCATTTGGGCCTTTAATGGGTTGTAACCTTTGTGATGTGGATTATAATAAACAAAATCTTTAGTGAAAAAAAAGAAGTATGAGTTTTCCATGGATTATATAATATATCCGAAAACCTCGAAATGATAAAATCTTCGAAAAATCGGGATAAGTATCCATGTAACATTTTTCAATTAGCTGTGAACGAAACACAAAACCGCACCCTAATATCCCGCCCGGGATAGGAGTGAACAGGTTCACACAATATCAGTGTTTTAAGCTTGTGGCCTTCAAAATGTTAGAGCTGGCTCTGCCTGTATATTACATATAGAACCCTGATTTCTTCCTTTTGGAAAGGTCGGTGTACTGTCTTTCAAATTTTTTTAAGGAGGTCAGCCAGCGACTTCCATGGGCTTTTGCCAATGGACCATTTACTGGTCTGACCGGGTTTTTCTGGTTTAATTGAATTACTCAATTAATTATAGTTATTTACGGTTTAAGCTGATATTATGTGGGTGTGATAATTCATGCACCAACATATATTAAACAATCTATATTTGTCGCGGTTTAGCTTTAAAGGTTATGATTCTTTTCACTTACTCTTATCATCAGGAACTCACAGTTTGGACATAGACCGCG